TTCAAAGACCCCTATACTAGGAAAATTTTGTTTAATTCTTTAGTGCGATCAAAATTAGAGTATGGCTCGGTTATATGGAATCCCATGTATAAAACACACTCTGTTAGAATTGAAAGAGTTCAACGCAAATTCACACGATTTGCTGTTCAACCTCTCAATTTTATTAGTCCTCTGCCACCCTATCCTGCCAGGTGTATGTTAATTAATGTTCAGCCGCTCGATATTAGGCGAGCTGTTCAAAATCTAATGTTTATCTTTGACATAATTTCCGGTGCCATTGATTGTTCAGCTCTTCTTGGACAGATATGTTTTAATATCCCCAATAGAGCTCTACGCTCTACTAATATTTTTTATATTGGTATTCTGAGATCGAATTATCTCAAATTTGCCCCACTTATAAGAGGGCTCAACGAGTTAAATCGCATCTGCAGAATTATTGATCTCGATTTCGCAATGTCAAGGTCCCATTTCAAGGCAGATATTGAATCTTACTACCGAGATAATCCGCCATTGATTTAATATTTTATTAGTTTTAAGTTTAGGTTTAAGGAATCTGTAAATCTAGTCAGTAAGGCTTTTTGCCATTGACTTAATAAATGAATTGTAATTGTAATTGTAATTGTAATTTTGTTGTTGCTTCTGGTATCGAAAGTGTCAAAAACTGTTCTGAATTTTTTCTTCTAAATCAAAGCGTGCCATGTGAAATACAAAAAATTATTAAAAATAAAAAGTTGAAATTGGAAAAAATAATAATTGATGCAACTTTCTTTCCTAGTAAATTTATTTGCTTCTCGAAGCATTGCTCCATCCTTTGCAAGGCCCAGTAATCAGCGGTTGTGCTGCCGAGTTGGGCGAACGTTCCAAAAGCAGCTATTCAATCGCTTGTTTTGTATGGAAAAAGGTTTCACATGCAAATGGATTTTAACAATTCAGAATTTTTGTGAGAAAAAATTAAAAATATTTGACATTTTCGAGACCAAATAATTTGAAAATAAATCAAATCAGCTGCTCTACTGATACTACCTGTTCAATGTACCTTGGATTTATTGTTTGATTGCTATAACTGAGACAAGGTAGCTCACAATTTTGTACAATTTATGAAGCTTCAAAAACTTATTTTTTGTCAAAAATTGTGAAATGAAACTACCTTCTTTTTGTATCATGTGATCTACACTATTTATATGATAAACCTTACCGTGTAGCTAAAAATGGTAAAAATAAATACATGTGACCTTTGGCCTTGACTATTTTTTTTAAAGATCTGGGATCGATAACGACTTTTCACATTTAATTTATAATGGCGTTCGTAAAATTCGTACCAATTTTCAGCTTTATGCGAGTTACTGCAACCTTGAAAATCTAACTTGGAGTAGCAATTAAAATATATTAGTAGCAATTAAAATATATTAGTAGCAATTAAAATATATTAGTTACACGGGTTATAATGTACTTCAATTAGGTTGACAAGTGATAATTTATGGAAAAAAATGTGCTACTATGTTGAAAAAGAAATTATTTATTTGCACGGATTGCACGGTTTGCAAAGTCAGAAGCGTTAACCACTGAGCTATGTACATCCCGTAAATTCTTGTTGCTAATTCACTTTCCTTATTCAACCAACTAACTACTATCAAGTGCAGCTGATTTGCCGCTATTTAAACTCGACAGCGTGGTTGTTGTTGTCAATTCTATATATCCATTTGCTTATTTGCTTTTTTGTATAGTTTCAGGCAGGCTCTTCCTAAACTACGCAAATTTTTTTTTATTGAAAATTTCTACCTCAAAAGATTTTCCCATACACAAACAAATCAAACATCAAAAGATCAAAATGATAATGTAAAGTTTCGATTTTTATTTTATTCCTGAATTCGAAAAAGAATCTGCGCAGTGCAGAAAAAAGTGTATTGAAATTATTTTTGTAGGAGGATATTTAATTAAAAACTTGTAAAGAAAACAAACTCAAGACAACGTCTGCATGACTCCTGCCCGACTTTAAACTCATTTAAAGTTAGTTTTGTCATAGCTAATCAGAAGTTAGTTATTTATAGAAATCCCGCAAAGAAGGTAACAATAAGTTGGTTATTTTAATCAATGATAATTTTTTTCTGCAGGGTACAGTTAAGCTTTTTATGGAAATGGGCTATTAGTTTCAAAAAACNCGAATTTGCTGCAGTTTGACCAAACAAAATTAGTTTGCTGTGAGAGTCGCCAAACTCGCTCTCTCCGAGTTTGCTGCAACAACAATGGCACGCAGTTTGCCAAACAAAATTTCTGCATAACACCGACCTAATACTTCTATATTGGCAGTAAGCTAACTTCTCAATGTGTAAGCATTCCGAAATCAAAGCGAGACAGTCTAGTTCCGTTTTTGTCAATGTATTTTGTACTTGCCTACTTACATAAGGCGGCCATGTCTTTGTTAAAGTAAGGGAGATTCGTCAGTGACGTGGTAAGGACGGCCGGGTGAAGTGTAAGTTGCTGGTAAGGTATTGCCCTTCACCTGGCGGTCCTTACCACTTCCCTGCCGAATCTCCATTACTTTAACAAAGACGTCGCCGCCTTATGTAAGTAGGAATTAAGAATGTACATTTGGTATCAGACATACCTCTGAGCCGCTTTACAAAGTAAGTTACGCATAATGCAGAGCAGTCGCTCGGAGTAGTTCGGCGCTTGGAAATAGCTTCGGCTGCACGTTATTTTGCAACTGACAACGTAATGTGTCGTCGGAGGTGTTCATTTTGCGGTTTACTAGTAGATGACATTGGCCATGATGACAATTTTGGTACTAAAAACTGAAAGAAAACATGGCTTACCTCGAAAGGTGCTTTCCTATTTTCCCAGTGGGCGAGTGCCGTTTTTGTATATGTGCTGTGTACATGTTTATTTATAAACGTATGTGTTCCTTTTCTTTCGTACGTGTTTATTGATATATCTATACTGTAGTGTTTTCGGACGGTACCAGCTCTTACTGCCAATATAGGAGTATTACATACATGTATGTACTGCACAGTACGTACTTGTTTGGCATTTCATTTTTATTAATAAGACGAATATTGAATGTGCATACGAACATTCATATTTGTACATAAAAACATACATATAAAAAAAAATTTATTTGGTTTGAAAGCAAACTTGAAAGAAATGAAGAAATTTATTCAAATTTCAAATAATTTCGTTTGAGTAAACAGTAATTACTCAGGATCTGATTAATCAAATTATTTGATTAATCAGGATTATGATTAATTAAAAAATTGATTAACCGATTAATCGTACATTCCTAATTTTCCGCCATCCCTTGTCAAATTAGATTTGGTGACAAACCGGTTTCGGCGTTTTGCCATCTTCAGTGTCAGTTTTCATTCTCAAATGACACTGAAGATGGCACAATGCCAAAAGCGGTTTCTCTTCAAACCAAATTTGACAATGGATGACGGAAAATCGTTTTACAATACATCATTATTTGTCCCAATTTTACAAAATTTTTCTGTACACAAGGTATCATAAAAATCGCCAACTTTAAATATGTATAAAAAAAAAAACAGATCTAGGCTAAAAATTCTTTTGCGATTCTTTTATGGAGATGTAAACTTTCATTTACTTTTGGTTTTATCTTATACGGAGACATGCACCTCCATTTTGGGTAATTGCGATATTAATAATAAAACGTATATTATCATTTACTATTTGCAGAGGAACTTTCGCTCGTAATTCCGTATTGAAATTGCTCAACTTATCACACAATAACATCACACGTTTGGATGCTAATAGTTTCCGAGGGATGAGGTTTTTGAGGTAAATTAAGAAGTGATATTATTAGAAAATTTTACGCACTCAGATGCAGTGGTAACATTCATTGTTAGTCAGATATAAAAAACAAATTCTCATAAAAACAAAATAAAATTTATTACAGGTGCATACAGTGTTGCCCGTTTGCGGGATTTCGCCTTTTTTCGGGATTTTACGCCTAAAAAGGGCGAATAGAATTTTCTGTCGCAAAACGTTATTTTTTACATATCATACCAAGCAATAAAGTTTAGTAATTGATAAATAGGTAAGGTTAGGTTAGGTTCAAGTGGCTGCCAGTGGTCCACTAGCACACTTGGCCCTTAGGTTGTGTGCCCCTTGTGATACCCCGTGGATCGTTAGAAACCTCTTTCTCAAATCATCGTGTGTATTAGAAGTAGCCGTATGCCTACCTCTGCTATGTCGGTTAGGTATTCAAATAATCCTGAACTTATAAATATTCGTCTTCTTCTACAAAGTGCGGGGCAATCGCATAACAGGTGGCGCAAGGTTTCTGACTTCTTCATTTCTACAGCTTCTGCAGAAGTCATTATGGGGACCTCTACCCTCACCTTGTGCCTTCTGATGACAACATGGTCTGTTAGCAGACCCACAGCTGCGGCTAGGTCGCCTCTGCTCAGCATGAGGAGATTCTTCGACTGCTTTTTATCCCATTTTCGCCACGTAAGCTTCGTATTGTTGCAAATGGTGAGACTAGCCCATCTGTCCCTTTCTAGTTTAAGAGACAGATCCCTTAGAATGAGCTTGCCCTTATATCGAAAATAGCAAGAGCTACAGAAAAAATGTTATCGACAAACTTGCAGGAAACTCAATTTCCTACAAGTTAGTCATTTACATTTTTACTGTAGCTCCCGTTATTTAGGAGATAGGGGCAAAAAACCAAGAATTTCATGAAAAAATTGGGTTTAGTGACCCGTACTACCTCGCTGGTGTGAGTTAGGGTTACGCCGAAATGGACTTTTGTAGAGCATTCAGTTCTGAAGAAATCTTTTGCTTGACCACAATTATTACCATAAAATTCGTTTTGAAGAGAAAGAAACCAAGTTTAGTGTATTTTAAACGTGAAATCTTTATACGCTTTGGTCGAGCACTTAATATTAATATTAAGAACTCAAATTTTCTGTGATTTTTTTCATTCAAAATTTCGAGGTGGGAGTGAAAAAAATTGCATCCATATATATGGGGAAATCTTTTGAGATGGGGACATTTTGGGTACTGGCATATTGTTGCCGCCACAAAACAACTGTACTACCAAGTGCGGTTTGGGTGTGTAAAAAATGCTTACCTCTAAAAATCATTTTAATGGTCACTACTTGATAATCCTTAATAATATAAATGCGAATGGTTTGTTTGCTACGCTTTCACGCTTTAACTACTCAACCAATCATAATGAAATTTCGCACACTGGCGTCATTTAGCCCAACTCAAATTATAGGTTAGCTTTTATCTCAATTAGCCAAATGGGCGTAGCACCTCCTATATAAACGGAATTTTTCATACTGCATACCTCTGGAAGTATTTGTGGTAGAGTACTGGAACTGGGTATGGAGATATATGACATCTGTTTAGGCCTCCACTCTAAACCATAACTGCGAATGTACATATAAACACACACACACATTCACATTTATATATATGTACGGCTGTTTTGGTATGGATTTTCCGCTAAATCGACTTTCGTTAAGTTTACCCTTCAATCACGTGTACTGTTTGGAGGTTGAATGCTGTGCTAAGAAAAAAACGGTCACTTATTTCTCAACATCATCGACGAGCGACTGTAAAGGCATACCTATCGAATCTATTAACTTTTTAATAAACCATTTATGTATGTATATATTTACTGCACACTAATTGGTTTCATTTCAATTTCTTCGTTTATTTCATTACGCATTATTGCAAATACTGCGAGCTCAGCGATCGGCAATACTATACTTATGAAAAAAATTTGGGTTCTTAGAAAAGGGCCCGTGGCACCTGCCATACAGACTGAATTTTTTATACTACCACCTATTAAAAAATTAACTTCAAAGTATTTTATAGGTTAAATGAATTATTACAAAATGGATGTCGATCTAGTCGTTGTATCCTAGAAATGGTGATTCTTAGAAACAAAAGTGTCACAGCAGTTTTTAGAAATAATTGCATGATCTACCATGATACAAAAATAGAAGGTAGTTTCATTTATTGACATTCGTTGTTGTTGTCGACCACTTGACTTTTAAGTTAAAATGGTGCCCTGCAACTTGTAACAGTACCCATTTTTGGGTTCCCAGAATTTTCTGATGAACATGTGGCGCTTCTAAATAATATATATACATAAATATATGTAAGAAACTATGTATGCNAATGGTGCCCTGCAACTTGTAACAGTACCCATTTTTGGGTTCCCAGAATTTTCTGATGAACATGTGGCGCTTCTAAAAAATATATATACATAAATATATGCAAGAAACTATGTATTTGTGACAAGAATTATCCACATAAGATGAAAACTACTTCAGTTTCATTTTATAAAATTTTTGTTCATAGAAAAATGCATAAGTAAGACAGTTCGCGTACGGTTCCGTTATTTGTAAAATGCTCTTAGGTTATCGTGTCCAAACTCGTGACCCGAATAAAAAAATTGTAACATATACATACGTCCTGCCAAAGGATTAAGCTTTAATTTAAAACAAAGACTTCGGTTTGAAATATGCACTTTTTTGTAAATTTAGAGGTGGATTTTGCGCAAAAATACTGTGCATGGCATAGCGGAGCCGAATGCCACCACCGCGGAAAGGAATTTTGCGCAAAAATACTGCTGATGGCCTAACACGAGTTGAATTTTTCTTTGCGAAAATGCTTATTTCACCCCATTTTGAAATGGCCCCCAGTGCTTGTAGAAGGGGCAGGGAGGAGAAGGATGGATTTTTTAAAGTATTTTGTTTTAGGTCATGATTCAATAATAAAAGGTTTGCTCAAAAAGCAGTTTTCTCGCTCCCCCTTGACAAAATCAGCTCCCTTAGCAAGGCACTATATGTGGGTTCGTGTGTGTGTGCAAAGCTTTTGTAAGGGAGCTAAGGGAGTGTCAAAACTCTAATGTCAATAATGAGCAAACCTTTAATTATGGAATCATGGATTTAGGTGGCACACCCCTTCTCCCTCCGCTCTCCACCAAAACATCATTGTACAAATAACCGAACATTTCCCACGCACAATATTAAATTCTCTGATTTATTCAAGGCACATTAAACAGGTAGTATCAGTAGAGCAAAAACAACATTTGCGTGTATTTTGTTGTTGCTTCTGGTATCGAAAGTGTCAAAAACTGTTCTGAATTTTTTCTTCTAAATCAAAGCGTGCCATGTGAAATACAAAAAATTATAAAAAATAAAAAATTGAAATTGGAAAAAATAATAATTGATGCAACTTTCTTTCCTAGTAAATTTATTTGCTTCTCGAAGCATTGCTCCATCCTTTGCAAGGCCCAGTAATCAGCGGTTGTGCTGCCGAGTTGGGCGAACGTTCCAAAAGCAGCTATTCAATCGCTTGTTTTGTATGGAAAAAGGTTTCACATGCAAGTGGATTTTAACAATTCAGAATTTTTGTGAGAAAAAATTAAAAATATTTGACATTTTCGAGACCAAATAATTTGAAAATAAATCAAATCAGCTGCTCTACTGATACTACCTGTTCAATGTACCTTGGATTTATTGTTTGATTGCTATAACTGAGACAAGGTAGCTCACAATTTTGTACAATTTATGAAGCTTCAAAAACTTATTTTTTGTCAAAAATTGTGAAATGAAACTACCTTCTTTTTGTATCATGTGATCTACACTATTTATATGATAAACCTTACCGTGTAGCTAAAAATGGTAAAAATAAATACATGTGACCTTTGGCCTTGACTATTTTTTTTAAAGATCTGGGATCGATAACGACTTTTCACATTTAATTTATAATGGCGTTCGTAAAATTCGTACCAATTTTCAGCTTTATGCGAGTTACTGCAACCTTGAAAATCTAACTTGGAGTAGCAATTAAAATATATTAGTAGCAATTAAAATATATTAGTAGCAATTAAAATATATTAGTTACACGGGTTATAATGTACTTCAATTAGGTTGACAAGTGATAATTTATGGAAAAAAATGTGCTACTATGTTGAAAAAGAAATTATTTATTTGCACGGATTGCACGGTTTGCAAAGTCAGAAGCGTTAACCACTGAGCTATGTACATCCCGTAAATTCTTGTTGCTAATTCACTTTCCTTATTCAACCAACTACTATCAAGTGCAGCTGATTTGCCGCTATTTAAACTCGACAGCGTGGTTGTTGTTGTCAATTCTATATATCCATTTGCTTATTTGCTTTTTTGTATAGTTTCAGGCAGGCTCTTCCTAAACTACGCAAATTTTTTTTTATTGAAAATTTCTACCTCAAAAGATTTTCCCATACACAAACAAATCAAACATCAAAAGATCAAAATGATAATGTAAAGTTTCGATTTTTATTTTATTCCTGAATTCGAAAAAGAATCTGCGCAGTGCAGAAAAAAGTGTATTGAAATTATTTTTGTAGGAGGATATTTAATTAAAAACTTGTAAAGAAAACAAACTCAAGACAACGTCTGCATGACTCCTGCCCGACTTTAAACTCATTTAAAGTTAGTTTTGTCATAGCTAATCAGAAGTTAGTTATTTATAGAAATCCCGCAAAGAAGGTAACAATAAGTTGGTTATTTTAATCAATTGATAATTTTTTTCTGCAGGGTACAGTTAAGCTTTTTATGGAAATGGGCTATTAGTTTCAAAAAACTGTTTTCTAATTTAGATGTTGACAGGGTCAGGGATCGAACCGAGGTCCTACGGAGTGGTAGTTTCGTGAAAAATACGTTTGATTTAGTTTAATTTAGGTTGGGCAAATTTCATTTGCGTTTGGTTTGATTTCATCTGTGCCCATAAACTCATTTAATTTGCGTTCAATTTTAAATCGATAGCGTTACATAAGTGTGCGACTGCACTTAAATAAAAAATGTACTCACATTATCGTTTTTAAAGCTGGGTTTTGAAATGCAGGGTTTGCTTTTATTTTTATTGTTAGGTTACTAAAAAAAAGTACTATTATATGTATATGGCCTTTTCACTTCTGCCTTTTCTTAAACACAAACGCGAGTATTCAGTTTAATTTATACTCTATTTTTCATACAGTTTATTAATAAAACGCATATAATACAATTTAATAACTTAAGGCAGTAAAATCTGGCGATACGAATAACATTGTGCCTATACATAAAAAAATATTTCCTGAAGCCTAGATGAAAAATGCAGAAGCCATCAAGCGGGGATACAGTGCATTAGCTGACTATGCAGAGATTAAGCAACCCGAAAAACTCCCGATTTCCATTTAGACATAAGAAGACAAACTGAAAAATTAATTGAATGAGTTGATTTTTTAAAATGTCGATGTTCGATTTGTATCGAATATTGTATTGCTGTATAACATGCATTTTCATAATATTTAACTGTAAAAAATGATGATTGAGATATTTTAAATCCGAAAATATTTCAATTTCTCTGAATATCGTGAAATATCATTGCCAGAATATATAATGATCGATGCTTTGAAAATTTTAATTCATGGAAAAAGTGTGTAAAATTTCACTTGAGTTTGAAATTTTAGCTGTGTGCTAAGCTTGATGTATCATGTTAATTGAGTAGGCCCCCATCTAGACAGTGGCAGATACAGGGGAGGGGCGATGCGCGCCCCCCCCAGAGCTGGAAAAAAATTTCGTTTAAAATATACACCTCAAACGAGAAATTTGAAAACAAAAAAAAAATTTTAATCTTCAATCATAATCCCTTTTTTTAGGCTTGCACAAGATTATGAATTATGAATGATGTATAGAATAAGAACGCATTTAAATCTCTTTAATTAGAAATTAAACAATGGGTATGCGAATACTACAAATTTATAGACCTTGTCATAACTTTACGGCATTTACATTTTGACAAGATTTGACCATTTGTCTTAATATTTTTATACCCGAGCGCACTTGTGCACAAGGGTATATTAATTTTGTTCACATAACGGTTGTTTGTAACAGCCAAAACGAATCGAGAGGGATATAGTCAAATGTATACATAAATGCTCAGAATGAATAGAGAAGTCGATTAGCCATGTCTGTCTGTCCGTCCGTCCGTGTACACGATAACTCGAGCAAAAATTGAGATATCTCAACGAAATTTGGTATGTAGGTTTCCATTAATCCAAGGTAGGTTGGTATTGAAAATGGGCGAATCGGACTGTAACCACGCCCACTTCCCATATAACGGTAATTTCCAGAAATACGAAAACTGCGATATTTAGGTAACTACTGAAGATAATTCACTAAAAATTGATATTTACAATAATTTTCAGACAATAAATAAGAATATTATAAATTTTTGGAAAATGGGCGTAGCCACGCCCACTTATGGTTACATGAGTATATCTTGGTAACTGCTGCTCCAATTTCTTCAAAACTCGGCACGGTTCTTGGCCTTGGCACAGCATGCTAAATGGCCGAAAATTACAAAAATCGGGCAATAACCACGCCTACCTCCCATATAACAGTAATTTTCAGATATACGAAAACCGCGATATTTTAGTAACTGCTGAAGATTATTTACTCGAAATTGATTTTTACAATAAATTTTAGACGAGAAATAAGAATATTATTAATNGACAATAACCACGCCTACCTCCCATATAACAGTAATTTTCAGAAATACGAAAACCGCGATATTTTAGTAACTGCTGAAGATTATTTACTCAAAATTGATTTTTACAATAAATTTTAGACGAGAAATAAGAATATTATAAATTTTTGGCAAATGGGCGTAGCCACGCCCACTTATGGGTACATGTGTATATCTTGGTAACCGCTATACCCATTTTTTCCAAACTTGGCACAGTTTTTAGCCTTACTACAANGGCGTAGCCACGCCCACTTATGGGTACATGTGTATAGCTTGGTAACCGCTATACCCATTTTTTCCAAACTTGGCACAGTTTTTAGCCTTGCTACAACATACCAAAGGGCTGAAAAGTTTTAAAATCGGACAATAATCATGCCCACATCCCATATAACGGTAATTTAGAGAAATACGAAATCTTCGATAAATCAGTAAATATTAAAGCTAATTTATTCAAAATTGATGCTTGCAACAATTCTTTACCAAGAAATACGTTTATGGTAAAATTTTGGAAAATGGGCGTGGCACCGCCACTTATGATCACATATATGTATATCGGTAACCGTTCTACCAATTTGTACCAAACTCGGTATTTTTATTGTGCTTGCCACATAAAAGCAAAAAGTTGAAAATTATTGAAATCGGACTAAAATTACGGCCGCTTTTCATATAACGGTAAATTTCAGAAATGTTTGAAACTTCAATATTTCGAAGTTTAAGGACGCTAATTTATTCAAAATTGATCCACCCCAGCTTACCATCTAGCGGTAGGTTTCGGAAAACATATATTTAATACTTGCGCCGGGTATTTAATGTTCGTACTTTCGTAAAAATTTCGAACTTTCGATTATTAAGAAATATTTTAAGTAAGCAGTTTTTTAGCCCATTTAATTTTACTGCAAGGTCAAAGTAACTGATTTTTGGCATTTTATTCCATAAAAAACATTTTCGACGATTTTATTGTTATATGGAGAAAATGAGCAACACCTTCGACGAAAAAAATTCCCAAAAATCAATGGTACTTGAAATTGGGCGGAGGAGGATGGTTCCGGGCGCAGGAGTGGAAAACTTTTGACTGCCATTCACCTGGGAGTGGCCAGATTGGACGCCTCATCCTTCTCTTCCGTCGGGGCATGGGCGCAGATGAGCGAGATATTGAAGAATCTAGCTTTGATGCGGATTGTGGCTAGACGTTCGTCCACCGGGGTGAACGCCAGTACTTGGCGACGGAGTCTCTCTGCTACCAAGAATCCAACACCGAATTTGCGCTCCTTTACGTGGCAAGTGTAGTAGACGTCGCAAGGCTTCACGCTTACTTTTCCTTGCCCTGTCCATCGCATTTCTTGGATGGCGGTGATGTCAGCCTTTGTCTTCCCGAGGACATCAACCTTAAATCATAGTCCTTTATACGTCTGCCGTGGTCGTCATCAGAAAAAGGGGGTCTCATCCGAGGCTGGGCGGGGTTTTAACGTGGCGGGACCCAAACCCAGCGCATGCGAAGTTTTACGCCTTCTCACTTTAGCTCGCCCCCAAACGGGTGTTTGGTTGATACCCAGAGGATACGTGGATATAAATATCCGGACGTTGTGAGCTGCGATTTGAACCGTACGCACAAGAATCGCT